CAGCGCGTTCCTACGGGTGTTGACGATGGATTGAAGACCGCTGGCCGGCTCAAGGGGATTAACGGCTAATGAAGGTTCCCTCCTCACAAAGGTTCCTCCAGCATGGAGGCCTCAACGGGGCGCGGCCCCACCGTGAGCGGTGCGGAAAAAAGAATATACACATATTTATTTGTTGTTTATTATATTCAAAACATTTTACAAATAGTCAATGTTTGTCTTTTTGAAACGTGGATTATGTACCGGGTAATGTTTGTAAATTAAGATTTTAAGTATTATAGAAAATCAGGAATCAGGAAACATTTATAAATAAATAATTGAATAATAAGATATTATATTGTAATATATTTATCCTTTAAAATATTCATTATATTATATATATATTAGTTATGATATGGTAATTACCATATTCTGAATATTGTTTTATATATATATATGTATATATTAAACTGTTTGGATAAGACGTCCTTGTTATGTCAAACTGTTGGAATACACGTTATATTTAACTGCAAAGTAATAATTCGTGTTTGATAACCTTTCTTTTTGCATTGAATCAGACTGGGATGTTACCAGATGGGTGCTGGATGAGTTGCAGTGTGAGTTTGGGAGATATCAACACCTTTTATTTCATCTGATGATGTCTAAAAGCTGCCAAATGAGCACAGAGACAAAATGTCCCCGACAGAAGATCCAGACTGTGAAAGGACACGCAGACACATGCGAGGTGATGCTGAGCCGAGCTTTAATCAGAAAGAGCAGAAGACCAGAGGATTCAACAACACTTCAGGGAGGGAGGGACACGAGTAAACACTGAGCTTCGTTTACATCACACTCACTTTCTATCTGTAGTGTGAAACCACATTAAAACCCCCTGTGTGTCTCACAAAGCATTAAAGTTGTGCGCTTGCACTGGTTACTAGAGGCCTCCATGACGCAGCTGGAGGAACCTTTGTGAGGAGGGAACCTTCATCAGGTGTCATCAGCCACGGCCCTGGACAGCAATCTGCCATCCTCCCTTATAAACGTTAGTAGAACCGCCCGGATTCTCATTGTTGTTGTTGTTCTTCTTCTTTTGACCCGTCTTTGAGGGAGCGTTTGCGTTGCCACCCGGAGGCACATTGACTGAAGTGGACGGCGGGTTGTCTCTGGCAGCGGGTTTTGGTTCGTTGATGTCGTAACAGTAGCGTGTGACATCTTCGCCGCTGGAGCAACTCGTGCACGGAACCGAGCCGTCACATCGGAGGATGTTCTGCAGCCCGACCTTTTCCCCGAGCCGCTTAAGGGCTCCTGTGAGGTTCCCCACGGGAACCTCTTCTCCTCCTTTAGGCTTAAACACTTTAGAAAACACAACAGCGCGGTTTCTCCATTCCGTAATCACATGGATTTTTTCCAAAATACTAAAACGACTCGTCTCGGAAGCACATTTCTGATCACACGGGGAAGCAAGAACGTAGAAAAGCAAGAAATCATTTCTGTTGCGATTCTGCTTCAAGGTGTTGAAGTTGTTCAGAACGCGGTACTCTGCGTGATCGGCTCTCCTAACTCTAACTGCCTCAGGGCATTCTTTCTTGAGCTTGGCCCACGTCATCCTTTTACTTCCACATTGATTGGGAACATCCTCCCGTGGTACCCGTGCATAAGGACACTGATCCAGAACATTCGGCCACTTCAAAACCGTGGCAGCGACCATCGTCTTGCTCGCGTAGACGTCACATCCTATGATCGTTCTCCACACATTCTCGGCTTTGTCCTTGACTCTGCTGACGTCGTACCGTTGCATCTTGTTGTCGTACGGGATCCTCACAGCCAGACTGAACATGGGGTATCTCCTGTAAAAGGGAACAGAGACACCAGACGAGAGGCAGACGTCGTTACAGCAGCACGTTAACAAACTGTAGACTTCAGTCACGTGTTACTGCACAGCTGTTATCTCCTCTATTTTAGATCATATATAGAAAGTCAGAACTCAATTGTTCGTCCAGGACTTTTTTAGCAACATTATCTTGATGTGCAAAACCCTGGAGACAAACAGCCTGCGTGCTTATTACTCGTTATCAGTCATTCCTCTACAAAGAACATTTGAGCTTTTATCTTGAAAAGTACTTCCTGAGAAATGTTTACTTCATCACCTACTGACCATGGATATTCGTTCCATTCATTTAGGAATCTTGATTGGTAGGACGGTCGATACCTGCCAGATGAAAACAGAACAAAATGTCACTGACGTGTTTGAAACAGAAGGAACAGAACAGAAGTTCAGAGCAGCGCTTTGTAATATTTATTTAAATTGTATCAGTATGGATTTACTTAACAAATTCAATTCTGCATCTCATTTTATTTCTTATTCTTATTTTAAACGGAATAGAATTACAAAGGCAGCTCTACTGTAGTTTGTCATTTTCCATGTTATTCTTTTTTAAAGAATTGTATTTCTATTTAATTATGACAATTCGTTAAGCAGATATCAAATATATAAGATTGAACGTTTCTCATCCATAGAAATAATTAATCTAAGAGCAGGTGAGAAAAATTAGGGTTGTCGTATAGTATATTTTAGTTTTTAAAATGTGTACCTAAAAACATTCCACTGAAAACAGAATGAATCCAAATAATAACTGTTTTTTTCAAAAGCTTGCAAAATGAAAAAAGAAAAAAAGAAAAGCAAAGATATTAAAAGCTGTTCAATGAGATGCATTGAATTGTTTCACAAACTGAAATGACACAAAGCCTTATGTTGGTTTTAACTCTTAATAAATAACAAATTAACTAAATAACAACAGATTGAAGTCAGCTTATAGAAATCAAAGTAATTTAATTAATGAAGAACCTTTTCAAGTGCAGACATCAGAATGTTTTTTCAATAATAAAACACGAAATACGATATAAAATAAGACATGAAGTGAAAAACATAACAAAAATAAGAAAATAACAAAGCATAAAGTGATACACATTGACTAAAAGACTAAAACTGGACCGAATAAAGGTTAAAGAGAGCTGCTTTTTAAAGGGGACGTATCATTAAAAGCTCTCAGTGCCTTCTGACCCTGAATGGAATACAGAAATCATGTGATTCAACGAGCCAATCACAGTTGGTCTGTTATTTAACACCAGCTGACTCACCTTTTCCAGAGGACATTGACGATTTCTGCAATTTGGGTCTCGTCTGGTCTTGGAAAATGAGGCTGACTGCTCCTAACAGACAGAAAGAGAGTTATTTGAAAAAATGAAATTCAGAGCATGATTAGAAGTCATTTATATTTCCTATTTAAAATTTGTTTACTCACTTATCGGGACGGTTCACTTGATTGTCCACAGAACTCCCAACAGACGCAGACAACAGCAGCAGCACGGCCATCAGCCACAGCTTCGCCATCTGGACACAACATGCAGCTTCATGATTGAGGGAATATTTTCAAATACGTTGTTGGAGGCAAATTACTGCTTTGTCTATTTTGTTTTATTGACAACTTTTATATCTTAAAACGTCCACTAAACTGCCAAAGTAGAATACATGTATGTAGGACCACAAATGTCAATCATGGTAATCATCACGCTAATCAAATAAAAATCATTATTCCAATGAAATAGGAACATATCTCCTTTAAGAAATCCACATATTTACCACTAATCTTTGCTGTTGGATTGTTCCTGTCTGGTAGAAAGGTGAGTTCTTCTTCTTCTTCTTCTTCTTCTTCTTCTTCTCCTTCACGTGTTGCTGCAGTGAAGACCGTCGGGAGGAAGCAGCGTTTATAAAGAAGAGCGTTCCCTCAGGGAGGTTCTTCTTTTCAACTTTCTCAGAAATGAGGAAGACGTTGAAGAAGGTGTGTTGGTGAGATGTGAGCTCACGGGTTCCGCCCAGCAGACGCTTCTGAAGACAAAGAAGAGGAAGTTCGACATTCAGCCGCTTCCAGCGTCTAATGGACACCCAGTAAAAACGCCTCAAATACTAAATTAAGATCAGACTCAAAGAGCAGAGCCGTTCTGAATGGATCCATTCCTCAATTATAATGTGTGATACAAACAGGTGTGATGTCAAACTATTGAAATGTTCCCAAATTCCACCTGTTACCCGCTAGTGATGCGTCACCGTGTGCAGAGAAACAATCAACGCGTGTCCTGGGTTTGTGTTTGGGCCTTTAGTGCCGTCTTTTGACCTCATGGTGGCGCTAGAACAGAGATCTCTTCAAAATGATCAGTATTCACAGACAATGTTCATCTACACACTTTTGTTGTTGTTTTATTGATCTGAAATGACCTTTTTTAACGGATTAAACTTTGAGAGTTTGTATGTTTATGAGTTTAGGCCACAAGTCCATGTTGTTCTTCTCTTTTTAATGCAAGTTTCTCATGAACAGATGGAAACAGGAAGCTTCTTTGTCTTGAGCAGAATCTGCGAGTCATCCACCGAGCAGAAGTCCTCAACATCTGTTGGTGAAGCTGTCAGGGTGGGGACGCTCTCGCTGCTGGTTCCCCCTGAAGGAGTTCCTCTTTGACAATAAAGACTCATCCATTACATTACATTACATGTCATTTAGCGGACGCTTTTATCCAAAGCGACGTACAATAAGTGCGTTCAACCATAGGGTACAAACTCAGGAGAACAAGAAACAAGAAAGTGCAATTTCCTCAAATAAGCCAATTTACAATTTGCTATAGATGTGTCCTGCAGGGTCAGACCCGCGGAGAACACGTGACTCGGCTGTTATGGTGGTCGGATCCTTGCTCTATCCCCCTTTTGTTTTAAGAAAAAGGGGGCAGGGAGGTGAATTTCTAGTTTTAAACAGCGTCCAGTGTTATTTATAGGTAAGCTTTGTGTTAAATAACACGAGGTCTCCAGTACGGTGGCCCTGAGGTGCCAAACACGACGGCAAATAAGAACGCACAACGAAATTAAGCAGAGGACGGACCCTTCTGATTGGACGGACTGTGTCTTTTAAACAGGAAATGATACGTGGCTCTCAAGGGTCACGCACCCCCGCCACACATCCAGCTCCTCACGCCAAGGAATCGGACTCCGGTCCCTGAGCCGTGCCGCCCGTAGCGTCCACCCTAAAAAATTTTTTTTTTAAAAAAAGTGAGTTAAAAGACAGACAGTCCATCTGTCCAATCAGAAGGGTCCGTCCTCCGCTTCCTGCTGTAAGGCCCTCCCCTTTCCGGAAGAAGTTAATGTCGTTGTGTTTTGCACTTCAGGGCCACCGTACTTAAGACAAGTTTATGCTTCAGCGTTTTCAGAGAGACGCGAGGACACGTAGACGCAAGAGCCCCTTGCGTGTCCCTTGCGTGTCCCTTGCGTGTCCCTTGCGTGTCCCTTGCGTGAGTCGACCCATTTTTCTAGACACGTGTCAAAAGCTACGCAAGCCTCCAACACAGCCATTATTAAAACAAAGATTTTTTTAAACTGCACGGCACACCGAAGGGGGTAAACCTGAGACAGCCGGGGAAGAGGAGCGCGATTAACGAAAGGATCAAAGAACACAGGACAAGCAAAATAACTCCTGATGCGTAAGGGGGGGGAGATCAGTTAACCACTTTAGCAAAAATCAAACGCTAGAGTGGCCCTTAACATCCCGTCAGAAAACACTGTAAAGTGTCTCAAACTAAAACACAATTCTCTGTTAAAACCCCAGTGATGCTGTAAGAGCAGCTCCAGACTCTGTAGGTGGATGAAACCCGGCAGCGTTCCTTGATCGTGAGCACTTTGTACCAACGTTCTGCTCAAACCAGCCAAAAGTCCCTGGGATTTAGGATGAAATCAAATGAATGGAATAAGAATAATAAACACCTAAATGATATAAACTGATGATTTGAAATCGCTTACCGATCAGGCAATACTGGTCTGCTCCAGAAGGAGGTGGTGCTGCTACAGGCGGCCTCATGAGCAAGATGCAGTTACCCACCCGACCCCATTAGACCAGGAAGCTTATTAAACTCAGTTGACTCACCTGAGCAGGATGAGGAGAGCAAGATGTACAGGTATGATCAATATGATCGGCATCAGTCTGAGTCAATAATTCACTAGTTAACCCACTTAAATATGATTGAGTGCAGTTTTCCTCTTGATCTCATGGACACGCGTGTTCTTAATACAGCTGATACGACTACTTTCTCCAACATGAGTCTTCAGTGTCCCATTCCTGCCAGGAGGGGGCGGTGTTTGCATTTATACTCATAGTTATCCATCCATCACTGTACGTAATCCGATCTGCCAATATTCTTAAATTAAGCGTTAAATGACTCAAGTGTGCGTAAAACAAAGCACCAGGTCAAGTGTCAACTAGCAAATAATCCTAATTAAGTAGCTTCTTTCACATCAGGAGGTGCAGCTTTGTTACCAGATGGATGCTGGATGAGTTGCAGTGTGAGTTTGGGAGATATCAACACCTTTTATTTCATCTGATGATGTCTAAAAGCTGCCAAATGAGCACAGAGACAAAATGTCCCCGACAGAAGATCCAGACTGTGAAAGGACACGCAGACACATGCGAGGTGATGCTGAGCCGAGCTTTAATCAGAAAGAGCAGAAGACCAGAGGATTCAACAACACTTCAGGGAGGGAGGGACACGAGTAAACACTGAGCTTCGTTTACATCACACTCACTTTCTATCTGTAGTCTGAAACCACATTAAAACCCCCTGTGTGTCTCACAAAGCATTAAAGTTGTGCGCTTGCACTGGTTACTAGAGGCCTCCATGACGCAGCTGGAGGAACCTTTGTGAGGAGGGAACCTTCATCAGGTGTCATCAGCCGCGGCGCTTACCAGCATTCTTTCTTCCTCTCTTATCAACGTTAGTAGAACCGCCTGGATTCTTATTGTGGTTGTTGTTGTTGTTCTTTTGACCCGTCTTTGAGGGGGGGGTTTGCTTTGCCACCTGAAGGCACATTGACTGAAGTGGACGCCGCGTTGTCTCTGGCAGCGGGTTTTGGTGCGTTGATGTCGTAACAGAAGGGCGTGACATCTTTGCCGCTGGAGCAACTCGTGCACGGAACCGAGCCGTCACATCGGAGGATGTTCTGCAGCCCGATCTGATCCCCGAGCCGCTCAAGGGCTCCTTTGAGGTTCTCCACGGGAACCTTTTTTCCTTCTTTAAGCGCAAACACGTCGGAAAACACAACAGCGTAGTTTGTCCACTTCTTAATCTCCCCAATGCGGTCTAAAATACTAAAGGCACTCGTTGTGGATAAACATTTCTGATCACACGGGGAAGCAACAACGTAGAAAAGCAAGAAATCATTTCTGTTGCGATTCTGCTTCAAGGTGTTGAAGTTGTTCAGAACGCGGTACTCTGCGTGATCGGCTCTCCTAACTCTAACTGCCTCAGGGCATTCTTTCTTGAGCTTGGCCCACGTCATCCTTTTACTTCCACATTGATTGGGAACATCCTCCCGTGGTACCCGTGCATAAGGACACTGATCCAGAACATTCGGCCACTTCAAAACCGTGGCAGCGACCATCGTCTTGCTCGCGTAGACGTCACACCCTATGATCTTTCTCCTCACAGTCTGGCGGTCGTCAGTGACTCCGCTGACGTCGTACTGTTGCATCTTGTCGTTGTACGGGATCCTCACAGCCAGACTGAACATGGGGGATCTCCTGTAAAAGGGAACAGAGACACCAGACGAGAGGCAGACGTCATTACAGCAGCACGTTAACAAACTGTAGACTTCAGTCACGTGTTACTGCACAGCTGTTATCTCCTCTATTTTAGATCATTCATAGAAAGTCAGAACTCAATTGTTCGTCCAGGACTTTTTTAGCAACATTATCTTGATGCGCAAAACCCTGGAGACAAACAGCCTGCGTGCTTATTACTCGTTATCAGTCATTCCTCTACAAAGAACATTCGAGCTTTTATCTTGAAAAGTACTTCCTGAGAAATGTTTACTTCATCACCTACTGACCTTGGATCTTTGTTCTGTTCATTTTTGAGTCTTGTTTGGTAGGACGGTCGATACCTGCCAGATGAAAACAGAACAAAATGTCACTGACGTGTTTGAAACAGAAGAGAAGATCAGAGCAGCGCGTTTTAATATTTATTCTAATCAGTAGATTCATTTCACAAGTCAGTTTTCTTGCAATTCTGCGGCTTCACTATTGTTTGTCATAGTTACATGTTTTTTGTTTGTTTGGAAGAATTGTATTTCTATTTAACTATGACAATACGTTAAGCAGATATAAAAACATGTCACATTGCAAGTTTCTCATCCATGGAAATAAATCATCTACGGGATTCTGCAAAAATGTGGGTTGTGGTATAGTTTATTTTAGTTTTTAATGTGCATATCTAGCAACATTCAACTAAATAATAGAATGAATAATACCTTTTTATTGGAAAATGCAAAAGCATGCAAAATGTAAAAGAGAGACAGATAAAAGTTTTTCAATAAGATACGTTGAATTGTTTCAAACTGTGAAACGACTCAAAGGCTAATTTTTGTTTTTACTATGAATAAATAACATTGAAGTAAATAACAGATTGAAGTCAGATAATAGAAATACAAGTCATTTAATTATAATTATTGTAAGTGCAGACATCAGAATGTTTTTTACAACAATAAAAGATGAAATATGATATAAAATCAGACATGAAATTAAAATAATACATATAATACACATTCAATAAGGGTAAACTGCACTAAATAAAGGTTAAAGAGAGCTGCTTTTTAAAGGGGACGTATCATCAAAAGCTCTCAGTGCCTAATGACCCTCAATGAAATACAGAAATCATGTGATTCAACGAGCCAATCACAGTTGGTCTGTTATTTAACACCAGCTGACTCACCTGTTCCAAAGGTCATTGAAGATATCTGCAATTTGGGCCTCGTCTGGTCTTTTAAAACGAGCCTGACTGCTCCCAACAGACAGCAACAGGCCCAGAGAGTTATTTGAAGAAACAGAAAAATTCACAACATAAACAATATATTTAGATGTTTTCAGAGCTTCAAGTATTTTTGTGGGCTCGGCACATTAACGCGTTATGAATTTATAAACGCGTCAACGCCGACAATTAGTTCAACAGCATTTCTTTTTTTACCACTGGGAGGGTCTTAACACTTAAATGGAAAATGAAGGTACTGCACTATTAAATGGATGTTTTCATTAGAAATATCTACCAGACGGCGATTCCAGCAAAAACCCTGTCACCACAGTACTACAAGCC